GGGGGACACTACTTAGGGACCTCCACCCTCCCCGACCTGACCCAGCCTGTTACCTATGGCCAGCTGGGGGAGGGTGCAGCCCAGGCGCTCAGCAATGGCCTGCAGCTCCTTCAGCTTGGCCTGTTGGCGCCGGCCCTCCTCACTCAGAATCTTGTCCTTCAGCCACTGGTAGCCCTGGTGGGGGGATGCCCATAGGTGAGGGAAGGTCGCCTAGACCTCTGTATGCACTTTCCTTTCAGATCCTTCTCTCTAGACGACTGCTCTCATCCCCTTTGGAAGCCAGGGCAGCCTCCTTCCCCTGCCTCTAGCCTTGTCAGTGGTGGTCAGGCTTGGGCAGAAGAATGGGGGCTGCTGTGCCATGGAGCCCATGGTCTGTGAAGACCCGGGGCTGGCTCTCAGGAGGGACAAGCAGTGCACATACTGACTTCCCATCTCCCCAGAAGCTGATGTCTGGAGGAGGGGGCGCTGCCACCTTTGACCTAGAGGATTGAGCTGGGCTGGGGGCTTCAGGAACTCTTCCCTAATGATCTGACACCTCGTAGGGGGTTCTCTGACCCTGCTGTGGGCTGGGTAGGGGGCAGAGAGGAGAGTAGGCAAGCCAGGCCGTCGTGCCCTGAAGCCTGCAGCGGGGCTCAGTGGTAGGTCAGACTCCCTGCCCCTTGGCCCTCAAACCCTGCACTCTGGACACCCTCTTGGTCCCCATTCCAGAAGGATGTGCTTGTGTGACTACGCAGGTCTTATCCCAGAAGGTCACCTCAAGAGGCCCTGAAGCCCCAGCCCCAGCTCTGGGTGCAACTCCAGAGCTCTCAGGGGTGCTATAGAGTGAGGGGAGTGTGTGCAGGAGGGAGGGTCCCAATGGCACATCTAGGTCCACATAGTGGGGATGGAGGCAGGTGGGAGAAAGGTCCCTCACCTGCGATAAGTGCTAAGAGGCAAGTGGCCCCTCTAGACCTGGGTCAGTGCAGAAGGGACTCCATGTCCCCATCACATGGAACTTGATCCTGGCTGCTGGGGTCCAGGGGAGCCTGCTCAAAGGCCCCACCTCTCCAAAGTGACGCCCTGCCTGTCCCCTTCCCCATCCTGGATCTGCCTCCTCACCTTCAAGGAGGCCCTTGAGTAGGGTGGGATGCCACTGTCATACTTTCCAGAAACGATGCCACAGGCCAGAGGGGACCAGGTCATGGCGCCAACTCCTAGGAGAGAAAGTAGGCCCAGTCAAGCCTGGGCCCTGCTCCCGGCGGAGCTGTGAGGGCCCTGGACGGCATGGGCTCTGCGGGGGGGAGAGCGTTTGGGGCACACCTATCTTGTGGAACAGCTCTGGCAGCTGTACCTCCACCTTCTCACGCTGGAACATGTGGTACTCAGCCTGCTCGCAGATGGGTGGGATCAGGTTGAACTGCCGGGCCACGGAGTAAGCTTCCTGTAGGGGTAAAAAAGCCACATGATCTGCTCAGGCAGGGGTCACTGGGGGACCTCCCTGTGTACTGAGGGAGCATAGGGCTGGCTGGGGCAGGAGAAGTCCCAAAGGCATTTCTAGGAACCAGCTGACTTTTGCCCTGGCCTCAGGCCCTGGGGAACTGGGAAAAGGGTCATGGAAGGGGTTAGGGAAATGAGCAGTGCAGTAATGAGACTCATGGTCTGGCACTTAAAAAGCCTTGGACAAGGGGCTTAGCCCTCTGCATCTCTGTTTCCCTGTCTGTCATGTGGGTCAAACTAGCCAACAATGTTCACAGTCCTCCCAAGAAGCATGGGCCATGGTGGGGTCTCAGAAGCTGTTGGCATTGCTGTTACTGATGTCACCCAAAGGTCCTGGCTGGGATGTCAGCTATGGAGTGGTCAGGAGGTAGAGGGCCAGCCAATATCAGCCCATTTCCAAGACTTGTCACCCTGCCAGAGACGCCCTAGCTCTGCTAGTTTGAGACTCAGTGTTCTCATCTGTAAAATGGAGATGAGGGTCTGGAGACGTGGTGTGATTTCAGTATTGGCTTTGGGGGCGGCTTGAGGAAAATGCCAGACCATTGTTAATACCACAAAGGTAGAGGTTGAGAAATCCAGGGGCTTTTAGAGTGGTCAACTTGAAATGAGACGTGTTTAGTTTTTTTGTCAAAGCAGAAAGTGAGACTAGAGGAGAGTCTTCTGCCCTGGGATACCCTGATGCTTGGAATTCTGGGATACGGGGCGAGTTTCCTCTGTTCTGCCTGTCAAAGATGGACGGCCGCATGCAACCACTGTGGAAGGCAGTATGGCACTTTCTCAGAAAGTTGCAAGTAGAAATACCATTTGACCCAGCAATTCCACTACTGAGAATATACCCCAAAGAGACCATAACTGACATCCAAGCAGATATATGCACACCCATGTTTATCGTGGCTTTGTTCACAATAACAAGCAGTTGGAAACAACCTAAGTGCCCATCAACAAATGAATGGATAGAGAAGCTGTGGTATATTCACACAATGGAATACTACGCTGCACTGAAAAACAAGGAACTCATGCAATATTATTCAAAATGGGTGACCCTGAAGGACATTATGCTGAGTGAAATATCTCAGTCACAAAAGGACAAATACTGCATGGTCCCACTGTTGTAAAACAGGATCGACCTTGGGGTTGGGGAGAGACTGAGAAGGATGGGTTCAATAATGTATACTGCATTGAAACAGATGAGGGAGAAAACTGTTTAAGAGGGAAAATGATTAGGTATTTTTGTCACGACAGGAGTCCAGAGCGAAGGCTGTATAATGCAGTGGACCTGGGTGGGGGGCAGGGACTGTAAAACAATGAAAGAATTTTTATTTTAGAGGGTAGTGTAGTAGGGGAGAGGGTTGGGAGGGGAGAAAAGTGCAATAATGAATGAATGGAAATCCAAAGTGTCTGTAAATTTTCATTGAAATTAATAATAAATTTAATAAAAAATATTTTTTTAAAAAAGATGGATGGTAGCCTCTCCACTTTTCTCAGTTTCTGCTCTGAGAATAAAGCGGACACCTGCTGGCTCTTCCCAGCAAACCCCAGAAGCTTCGTGTGGGGGAAAAAAAATGCCACATGATCTGCTTAGTCTGTCCTTGTTGGCCTGGCTGGCAGAGGCAAGAGAAGTCACAAAGGCATTTTTGGAGCACAGCAGTAACACCTGCTGGGCTCCACTCCACTTCTGTGGCCTCTAATGGAGGGAAGTGACTGTTAGTGTCCTGGAAACTGAGTGAGATGGAAACATCAGAGATTACACAGGATGGAAGCCCAAGGTCCTAAAAGTGGTTCGTATTTCCAGATGGTGCAGGCTGTGACCTGAATGGCTGGGGCTCTTGATAAAGCTCTGCTGAGAGCTGTGTGACCTTGAGTATGTTACTTAACCTCTCTGTGCTTCAATTACCACAAGTGGAAAATGAGATGACAGCTGCACTCCCCTTCTGATGACTGAGTGTGATTGGGTCTGCACAGAACCCTTTCCCTTCTCAACATCATAGACATAGTCAGTGTACTTCATCCAACTAACATGCGTTTATTTTTTTCATTCTATGAAGCAAGCATAACCCTAATACCAAAACCAGTCAAAGACAGTACCAAAAAAGAAAACCATAGACCATTATCTCTCATGAATATAGATACAAAAATCCTTAACAAAATCCTGGCCAATAGAATCCAATAGTATATGGATATATATATAAAATTCATCATGACCAAGTGTGATTCATAAAAACAACCCCCACCGCCCCAAACAAATCCCTTTCTCTCACAGTGTCAGGAGCACCCAGAGGCCCAAGGAAGGGCTAACACAGGCTGCAGGACTTGGGTGCTTTGAGTCTGCTCTCTCTGATATTCCAGTATGCTGCAGATGTACGTGTGTGTGGTGGGGGTTAGGCAGGTGTTCTTATGAGCCTTGTTCTGCACGTGACGGGACTGAGGTCAACATCAAGGGCCAAATAGTTTGGTGAGCCAAGTAGAGGCTCCCCCATCACTGCAAATCCCAAACCACCTACCTTCCCCAAAGCGTCCCCCCATCTTGGTTTAGGCATGAGTGAGAGCATCACATCTGGTGACTCTTCACCCTCAACGTCAGGCCAGGAGCCCGAGTCCCAGAACCTCCCTCTTCCCAAGTGGTCACTGTACCATGATCTCCATGGAGCTCCAGCGTGACGTGCCCCAGTACATGGCCATCCCCTGGTTGATGACGTGGGTCATGGCGCGCACAGTCTCTGTCAGGAGAGAAGGAGAGACGGCAGGTGGGAGAGGGCCTGGCACATGGAGCCTTGAAGACAGTCTGCACGCTATAGGTGGGCACCGGGAAGGGAGAGGTTGCGATTACATCTTGCAAGCAGTGTATGTCCTGGCTCCCAAGGTAAGGGTGTGTGCGAGTGTATGTGTGCTTGGTGGGGGCGAGGTGTTTCTCCAGGATGGAAGAAAGGAGTCAACAACAAATCCAAGAAGCTGATCTTGAGAACATTTTCCCCAAATGGTTTCAGGTTGCATGGAATCTTGGAAAAATGGGCTATGGATGGATGGACTGTGACATTTCTGGGCCAGATTAGAGAAGCGAGGGGAAGGTGAGATCAGGGAATGTGACACTAGACTCTCAATGTCCCCACCCAGAGTCTGCAGCCTGGGGAAGAATCAGGAGCCATGATCACTTGGCAAGAACCGCATGAAGGTATTAAATTATAATCCCAACCCACTTCTGGTTCACATCTACTCTAGAGGACAGAGTCAAACTGTCCCGTAGGGCTTCCAAGGCTGTATGTCCTTACTGGAGCAGACAGCCTCATCCATCTCCCTTGAAGTGACTGGTGGGTTTGAACCGCTAACCTTTTTGGTCAGTAGTCAAGTGCTTTAGCCACTAAGGCTCCTAAGATGATCAGAATGCCCAAAATGCACCAGGAAGTAAGCCTGTAGTCTCCCTGGAATCCAGAGTGAATTCACAGTGCTTGAAGTGGCATTTGTGGGGACAACGGGTGTTGGGAGCTGCAGGGCAGAGCTCGGGGCCCAGGCAGGAGGGTTGGCTCCTGGCTAGGGAAGCAGCGCAGACCTGCAGAACTCTGCTCTGCCCACCCAGCTTATCAAAGGAGTCCAGCAACATGGGATGGCATGGCTTCTGTTCCCAGGGTGGCAGGCTCTGGGTGCCTCTCTAGAGAAGAGCCAAGTCACAGGATGGGATAACCTAAACACCGAACAGCACAAAGTCCAAGGTCCTAAAGACCCCATCACTGAAATGCCACATGGCCACCCTTTTAAACAAGAAAGAAGGGATCTCCTCCCAGTTACACAAGAGATTCTTCCAGGCATTCAAAGACATTTTGGAGACATAAATACATGCCAGTGACAGCTCCTTCCTTAAGCTGTTTTTGCCTTGTGGGGATGTTATAGTTTTTCAGCTAGAACTTGGCCATGAAGTTCAATGTCTCCAGTGTTTCTCAGCTGGGCAGGGTGTGTGACCACCCTGTTGCTGTCCTGCAGGTACAATACAGTGCTTGCAAGGGCGGCTGCCAAAGGTGGTGTGGAAAGGCGAGTCGGAGGACAAGTGTTTCTAAAAACAAAGCACTGACATTGGTCCTTGAACATCCCCATTGCTTCCTGCATGGTTTGCTCCTGATATGCCATGGCAATGGGCTGAGGTCCCTGAAAATGGGGGTGATGGGTGAGATGGAAGGAAGGAAGGAGAGAGAATGTTGACTCTGCTCTGGGCACCTTCCTGCTGTTGGCAGTATGTCTTCCCACCCATCATACATCCCCAGGAGTCTCTTTGGCCAAGGCCCACAGTTTCAAGGGGATAGTAGGCTATGTGTATGCCAACACACTTTGCAAAATTATAAGGTACTGAATTATTACAACTACTGGAGTCTCTCAGTGATATGCACACATTTATGTACTTGGCTGCCAACAGAAACACTGGAGGGTTGAGTGTACCTAGAGGCATCTTGGAAGAAAGGGCTGGCAATTTACTTTTGAAAAACTCGTCATCAAAAATCCTATGGGGTATAGTTCTACCCTGACACTAGGGAGGGGTCACTATGAGTTGCAACAAATGCATAGAAAATATTCTTTTGTTATAGTAATATTCTTATTCTTTTGAGTTAGTATTATAGGGTGGAAACTGTTGGATCTTTTTTGTTTCAGTAACAATTGTGTGTAAATTGGTGGCCTGGATTAGACATTAATCAATCCACTGTGGGCTAGAAGGCTCTTGTTTCAATCAATCAGGACCTGGTAGGCCGGGCTTTATATTTAAAAGTTGCTTGGGCTCTCCAGCAATGGCCTGCTGTTAACTCTGTTTGGGAAGAACATTGTTCTAAGTAGTATATCACTTGTCTGTCAGTTTGCTGTACTGAGATCATTTCCAGTTGCTATGATACTGAACCCTGTGCCACTGGTGTGCCAAATGCCATAATGGTTACCCATGGTGGACAGGGTTTGGTAGAGCTCCCAGATTATGACAGGCTTGGAAGCAGGATTGTCATCCACTTCTTAAACAACAGGCCTTTGGAAAGTCTATGAACATTAGAGAAACGACGATAGTCAAGAACAGGGTTCAGATCTTTTATTCATAAGGTCACTATGAGTTGTACTGGACTCTACAGCATTTAACAACAACAACAACAATTTTGTTAGTGGCTTCTTAACAATAAAACATGGCCAAGGTGCACTTCTTCCTTGGGCCCTGGCCTAAGGAGGTACCAAGGGCATCCGGTGTTTGCTGGGGCTTCTGGGTTGGTGGTCTCACATACCCACCACCATCACTTACTGCTCTCAAGTTGATTATGACCCATAGCAACCCTGTAGGACAGAATATTCTGCCTACAGGGTTTCCAAGGGGTGAATCTTTAAGGAAGCACACTGTCCTATTTTCCTCCTGCAGAGCTGCCGGTGGGTTTGAACTGCTGACCTTTGGGTTAGCAGTCAGTAACTGCTTATACCTCCAGGCCTCCTTAGGATCAGCCAAGACCCTGCAGGCCAAGTCCTGCCCTCTCCTTCCTTCCAAGTAATGGATGGGGCTTCCAGGCATCCTGGGAGGAGCCCTGGTGGAAATAGGGGTGGGTGGGGTGGTAGGGGGAGACCACATCTTCACTCTGTTGATGCTGCTGGACTTGAGCGCACTGTTGGTTGGAAAAGTCTAGAAGGCCCGGGGAGACATCTGGTCCCGTCTAAACCTTGCACCCATTCCTGCGAGGCTGCCCTTGTTCCGTTTTTTAGAAACACTCTCGGGGCACCTGTGACCATGCAGGGCACTTCCCGGTTCTTTTCAGCCAAGGCAGTTCGTCCACATGCCAGCAGAAGGGCAGCCAGGAAATGCCAGCCTCGCTCCCTCCCTCACGCCGCTCTCTCCGATTACAGAGGACATGAGGGGACTGGCGTGATGCACCGAGATGCCCTTCCCAGGCAGGGCCGGGGCAGAGCCAGCTGGGAGCCTGGAGAACAAGGCCACGGAAGCCTGCACACAATCCTGAAGGGTCTGGGGGAAGGCCTTGGGCAGCGGCAGGCTAGATGCAGCACCCACTGTCAGGAACCTGGGCTCTCTGCACCAGTGCCCAGGGTGATGTCAGTGATCCTGGAAATGGACAGTCGGGGCCAATTGTCCTTTGCCTCAATATTTAATGCTGTTGGACAGATGCGGGAGGACCAAATCCTTCTAGGTGCTGCCAAATGGCTCGGCCTCTCCTGCTGTGTTACAAATAATACATGGAGAGGGTCGGGTGGCGCTGCCAGGTGCCCAGCTGGCCAGCATGAGGCCTGCCCTCTGCAGATGACAGCACATCCCCAGAGAGATCAGACCTCTGTGGTAAGAGGATGTCCGCCCTTGGTGTGGGGCCCAGGGGGCCCTTGTGTTTAGGTCAGTAAGAGGCACTAGGTGTAGCTGGAGCCTCTCTTAATGGTGTTTTTTTGCCAGCTCATGTGTTCAAGTGTCTTTGGAAGGAGAGACGATTCTATTTCCATGAGCAGTTTGGTTACATGACAAGGGCTGAGCGTGGCAGGTGGCCTAGCCTGAGGAGTGGCCATATGCTGTGCCCACCCAGGAGCCCATGTGCTGTGGAGGGTGGGGCTGGGGGGGGCTCACAAAACCGATTATGGAAAAGATAAGTAGTGAAGGGGTCCATGTGTTCTGGGGTTCTTCAAATGTTTCCTCCTTGTGCTGACCTGGCTACTACAGCCCTTCCCCTTGGTATCCCCTCGGATCAAGACTGAAGGCACTGACCATGGCACTCCCAACTTAAGAGACCAGGTGGACAGGCTGGCCCTCTGCAGGCTCAGCTACCTGGTGTGGCCTCAGCCGCCGGGGAGAGGTCATCAACAATGCAAGCGGGTGCAGGCTGGTGACATGCACAGAGAAGGACCGAGGAATGAGATGACCGTGTGGACCGCGTAGGGGAGACACAGGCGCCAACACACTTTGCTTTTCCTGTCACTTGCACGATGTCCTCCTGGGGCACTTTTATGCCATTTATGCATTTTATGGAGAAGTTTGTCATGGGGCAGGGGGAAAGAGAGGCGTGTAAATAAACACATTGGCTCATAAAATGCAGCTTGGACACGGGAGTCGGGAGTCGGGCTGTGGACACCGTGTACCTTCTATGATGAATGTCCTGGACTTGGAAGAACTAAATGGGTCCCCTGGTGATAAAAGAAAGATTTAAAGAGACCAGAGTTTATAGCTGTAGCGGCGTGGGATGACAAAGGGCATGGGCAGGGAGGCACAAATCAATTTTCACAGGATACTCGTTTTTTTGCTACAAAAAAAAAGGAGTCCGTAATATATACACACACATGCACTTGTGTAGGTATATATATATGTACACATATATAAAAATGTGAAGAAAAAACAAGTTTGAACACAACTTAATTTTCCAAGTCCCTGGAGCAGCAAAGTACAAATGAGAAAACGCTGGAAGCAGGAAGGTGAGGGAGATGGGGGTGGGGTGGGGGAGGGGGAGGGGGAGGTCAAAATAATATTCAAATGCCAAAAGAAACCAAAACCATTCTTCGAAGCGTGGAACCCATCCTGTCCTGCCGGCTTAAGTAATAACTGAACCCCCCAGCAGAATGAGTTTGGGAGGATACGATGGTGGCATGGAGGCATTATTCTGACCTTAGGGAGCTACACAATATTAATGACTGGACATTCCACACAGTTTGGACCACAGGAGGGAGCATGGAGGGACCCCAGGATGAACTCCAAGTGAGGACAATGTCCACTCGGCTTGGGGGACGCTTAGAGGCATGCCCAGGCCCTCATTATCCAGTGTGCCCTTGTTCCCCGCTGGCCTGTATGTCTGCTCCCCAGGCTGATGCCCAGTGATGGTGATGCTCGTCTTGCCAGGCGTCAGAGCCTCAGGCCCAGAACCTTCCATCCACCCAGCTCCATCCTATGGGCTGTGCCAGGCAATGGAGCTTCCCGAGAACACCTACCTTCCATGGGTGTGTTGGGGTCCGGGCGGTTGGCAAATACCACGTCCACATATTCCAGCTGTAGCCGCTCCAGGGAAGCCTTCAGACCTGGTCAGGAAGGCATTACCACAGATTGAGCATTGTCCAAGGATGAGTGTGGGCACACACCAGCACCCACTGCAGGGACTGTGGAGGGGAGGGGAGAAGGCCAGCACCGACCAGGTGGTCGGGTACGAGTGTGTGTGCTGCAGTGGGGCTGGGGCACAGGCTGTGGTGGGTGCATGGCAGGGAGCTCAGGGCCCAGAGCTGTGGGGGGTGCACGACAGGGGGCTTAGGGCCCAGAGCTGTGGGGGGTGCACAACAGGGGGTTCAGGGTCCAGAGCTCTGGTGGGTGCACGGCAGGGGGCTTAGGGCCCAGAGCTGTGGGGGGTGCACGACAGGGGGTTCAGGGTCCAGAGCTCTGGTGGGTGCACAGCAGGGGGCTTAGGGCCCAGAGCTGTGGGGGGTGCATGGCAGGGGGCTCAGGGTCCAGGGGCCCAAGGCTGTGGTGGGTGCATGACAGGGCTCTGGGAGGAGGTGACAGTATTGAGTTTGGAGGTGCTCTGAGCAGGGTTCTGAGGACAGTAATCTCAACTCCCCAGATGGCCAGGAAACACGCTAGCCATCTGGCCAGAGTCCCCTCCAAGTTATTGCCAGTGGATCTGCAATGCTCCCCTCCAATTTCCAAGTGAACAAAGGAAAAGAAGCAAAGATGGACATACATATGGCACTTCACCCTATTCTCCCCCATTGCCATCCAGCGGACACTGACTCACACACAGCTCACCCTCTGGCAGGTTTTCAGAGGTTGTAAACAGCATGGAGGAGACTCCCTGTCTTTCTTCCTTGGAGCCACTGGTGGATTAGAACCGCCAGAGAGGCGGCCTGTGGGTAAGCAGCGTAGTTCCCCACAGACTAAGCCGGCAGAGCTCTGAGGGGAGGAGCTGTTGAAGTGCCCCCACACGGGGCGGTGGTCACACTCCCCCTTCATAAATACTCGGCGTGCCCACCTCGCTCCTCCCACAAGCACTTCTGTACATAGGGGGTCGCCAGGAGCTGGAATCAGTTTCACGACTGGATGGCAACTAAGAACAACAAGGGCACAGAACACTGGGGATTAATGTTATAAAACACAATGTCTGCAGTGATAGAATGAAAGAATGTGAATAGAGGAATGTGTGAAACATAATGTATATAAATGTGGCATGCAAGTCAATATAAAATGAAAAGAATGATAAAAAAAAGATATTTCAATGGGGAAAAAAAAAAGAATAGCAAGGGTCTAGGTTGACCCCCTCTATTTGTCCCCAGGCTCTGAGGGGACACTCTATCCTAGCACCATCTCACCTTCAATGATGTGCTTCCTGGACAGGCCTCGCTCTGTTTCTGCCCTGGAAAACAGGTCATTTGGGGAAGATGCATATGATGGAATGTTAGGTGAAAACTGGGGACACAGAACAGGCTGGGCTTATTGGCTCCGGAGAGACCAGAGGGTGGGTGTCTGGTAAGCTGTCGGTCCTGCTCCCCCAGTTGTCTTAGGGTGAGGCTGTTCTTGCCTTGGATTTTTTTGTTTTTTAATAAGAATGAATTCTAGTCATGATTTCTAAAAAAGGAGCTGTCCTCTGAACCCTGTTCTTCGAGGCCCACAGTGAAGCTGGACCCAGATCCATCATCTTATGTTTGCAATAAGAAAAGGAGGAATTCAACGAGGTTGGAGTTAAAGACTAAAACCAAACTGCAGGCCATCTCCCGGTGTCCAGGCAGCATGTGCACGGCAGGGAGCACCGAGATGCCCATGCTGCACAGGCGGGCCAGCGCCAGCCTCCTCCTCTGCTGTCGGACATGGACACTTATCCATCAGGAGGCCGCCAGCTTCAAGGTCTTGGCAGAACTGGGGTGTGGCTCCCTCCTCCTCCGCCCCCTGTCCCCATCCCCATAGTCAGCTGGCTTCGTGCTGCACCTACTTTCCACCCCAGAAGAGTTTCGTTGTGATGACGAGGCTGGATCGTCTGTGGAAGAGAAAAGAAAAGGGGCAACATTAGGAGGTGGGGCCTCTGGAGTTCTTACTTACAGACCACTCACATGGGGATCCTAGAACTAGGGATTGTGATCTGGGCACCTACCTGTCATTTCCTATTTACATGTGACATGGCCGGGAGAGGTGTGCATGGGCTCCTTTATTTATTTTTTTTTAAAGTAGACAACTCTTGAATGCAAGTAATGAATGCCAAGTGATCGTGCTGAGGCCTGGGTGCTGGGAGAGCAGAGGGGATGAGGGAATACAGGGTGGGTAGGTTTATCAGAGGACCGGGGATGGAATGGAGTGAGCAAGAGAGGGCTGAATAGCAAACAGGTCAGTTCAGGGGTAGGTGGGCGGATGGGAGGGTTCCTTTAGGAATCTGACAGGCACTGAGGAAGCAGGGGCCCAAGCAGACGGAGCAGGGTAGGGGTGAGAGGGGCCCGGACATGGAGTGAAGGAGGGCTGGAGAGGGCAGGGTGTGGGGTGAGGGAGGGTGGGTAGGGGCAGAGCATAGAGGTGAGGGAGGGTTGGGTCTGGGGGGATGGAAAGTGGTGGGGGAGTGAAGGGGGATAGGATGGAGTAGGGCAAGGGGTGAGGCATGGGGTGAGGGAGAGCTGGGTATGGGGAGAAGGAAGGGGTGGGAAGTGAAAGGGGCTAGGATGGAACAGGCTAGGGGGCGAGAGGGGCAGGGCATGGGGACCGGGGGGGGGGAGGGAGGGCTAGGCAATGCTGATGGAATCAGGGTTTGGGGGGACAGAGGCTGAGAAGCTGGAGGGTCTGGGCTTGAGTAGAGGGGAGCGATACAGCTTTAAATGATCCCTGAGGGTGGGGGGGCATGATGGTGGCGTTGAGATTTCACAGGTCCTTAAGAGTCAGGCAGCACCCTAGCCCACCTCTAAGTCACATCAGATCACAACGCTTCCCACCAGAAGATGTATTGTGATGACAATGGTGGGGTGACCTCAGGTTTAACTCCCTGGAAGATACCTAAGATGTACTAAGAACATTTGTTAATATGAGCAGTGCCCTTTAACTCTGGGGTGAGAAAGAGGGATTTATTTGGGGGCTAATTATAGTCATCCAGTGACCTAGCGGCAAGAAGCTGCGCTGCAGTGCTGAAGTCACGCTACCAGCCATTCTGTGGGAGGACGGGCAATCTCCTCTCGTGTGATTAACTGCCTCTGAAAACCTGCAGGAGGGTCAGCTACAGGTCGGTTCCAACTTGACAGTACTCAATAACAACAACAATTACAGTTAAGAAAAAGCAGCGTGGTTGGGGCCACGCGGTCCTGGAGGCCTCTTGGCTAATGGGGGTTGAGCCTCTGAATCTGGTTCTACAATGGCTGTGGACGTTCCCGTCTGCACTAGTGTTACAGCTGTGGTGGGGGCTCAGAGGCCAAGCTCAGACTTGGGTGGGAATGTGCTGCGTCCACCTTAATGATGCTGTCCAGTCTGGAACAGAAGGGTGGATAAGCTCGGGTCCTGCTGCCCTGGGGCCCACTGTATCTCATGCACCAGGCCTGGGGGACCCGGCTAGGGTCCAAGATGACGATAAGGACAGCCTGGGTCTGAGTGAGACCCTGGGCTGTTAACCCTCAGACAATCCTGCCAGGTTGGTCTGCGCAGCCTCCCTACAGGGATGAGGACCACAGAAATCCCAAGGTAGGTCTTCATTCCCATTCAAGGAAGGTCTACCAGCTCTGAGAGGCTCCACGACCTGCCATGCTCCTCTCTGGCATCTATATTCTCTGCTCTTAATTTCTTCAGCTGAAGGGGTGTCAAGGGGGCGTCCTCAGGTCCTTGATGATGGTCTCTTGGCTCTTGGGCTGCTGTGGAAGCTAGTAATCTGTCTACCTCGTCCCATCCCGACCCTCATGCTCTGGACCTAACGGAAGACAGGCACCCGTTAGGGACGGGTGGACTGCTGGTTCAAGCAGCACAGTCAATGTCGTGTGACCTCCTTCTCATGTAAAATGAGCCCCTTATTTTGGAGAAATGACATTTAAATCCCAGTGGTGACTCAGCACACAGGAAGAGAGAGCTCCCCCAGCTCCCCAACCCCTGGCACCCTGGCTCTCTGGGGTGGCCACCCAGCAGTGTGCACACTCATGCCTCCTGGAGGAAGCATGAGGTTGCCTCCATTCTAGAACATTCTCTCTTCCCCTGTAAGAACAGTCTTGGGAAGCCCAGGCCTTAGCACTCTGGGTTGGCTGCACAAGGGGCTAGTAAACAGGAGGATGTAACCAAAGGCAAATGAACTGGAGCCAACAGCACTTCCCACCCCTGTCCCTGCGGCCCTGTGTGTGACCAGAGACCACACAGTCATTACCTCCAGCCCTTCTTCTTAATAATGCTTCCCAAGACCAACTCAGCCCTGCAGAGCAACAGAGACACAGGGATTTCATTAGCATTAAAAAACAATCCAACCCAGGCCCACCGTGACGACTGGCCACTCAGTGCCCCCGTGAAATAGCTGCTGGGCAGAGAGAGGCTGTGCCGGGCCTGCCCAGGTCCTGGCAGCAACTTCGAGAGAGAGAGAGAGAGAGAGAGAGAGAGAGAGAGAAGGCGGTGGGCTGGCTGGAGCCCAGGAGTCTGTACTATTGTCCCTATTAAAGTAGCCAAAGTCAAGTGTCCCCTACCAGCCCGGGCGGTAACAGCCTCAGATCCCCAGGCTTTCACAGAAGGCTGGGCTGCTGCAGGAGATGATGGGCCCCGGGGGAAGGCCAGTACTCATTCTCCTGGCTGGCTGGAATTCACTGGGGGAAATGCTCCGTACCACATCTTGTGGGTGAAGTCTGAAGATAAGCGTATTTTTTT